TTATGTAATACAACCTCTTGGATTTGTGATAGAAAATAAAAAAGTGGTGGTTTACAAGCTGCATAAGTCCTTGTACGCGCTGAAACAAGCTCCAAAGACTTGAAATCTAGAAATTGATTCATTTTTCAAGCATCAGGAATTCAAAAAAAAAAGTGAAATGGAGTATGGTGTGTATGTGTAACATACCTCTAATAGCAATGTGATTTTGGTGTGTCTTTATGTAGATGACATACGTCTGACATGGTGATGTACTTCTGAGATAAACAAGTTCAAAAGGGTGCAGATGAATGTATTTGATATGACTAACCTTGAAAACATGATACATTTTCTAAGGATGGAGATTCTATATTTTGATAAGGGAATCATTATGCTCCAACTAAAGTATGAGCTCGAATTACTTAATATATTTGATTTGATGAATTGTAAATCTATAACCACACATGCAAAGACAAATCATAAATCGGATTTGGATGTTGACGGTGAGAATGTAGATGCTACAACCTTCAAACAGTTGGCTGGATCTTTGAGATATTTATGTAACACCAGACCTGACATATGTTATACAATAGGAATGGTAAATAGGTTTATGAGTAAGTCAAAGTGATCATATTACTAAGCTACAGTCATGATACTCAAGTATATAAAGGGAACTATGAAGTATGGAATTATGTTTCCATCTGGAGTTTCAGATGATGTTCAGTTGATATTATATTCAGACTTAGACTGATGTGGTGATAGAGTGAACAAAAGGACTACTACAACATACCTATTTATTTATCTAAGAGCTCCCATTTCACGGTGCTCCAAGAAGCAACCAGTGGTTGTGTTGTCTACCTGTGAAGCAGAATACATTGCTGGTGCATTATCTATTTGTCAGGCTATTTGGCTGATAAATTTGGTGCAGGAACTGAAGTTCAAGGTGCGCAAAACAGTAAAGTTGGTGATTGACAACAAGTCAACAATAACTTGAACTTTTGCACTTGATCAGTAAAAAAACCCTTTCGCAAACAAGTATAGCTTTTACACATGTTCAACTCAATAACTTTCACCCAAACTTTTTTATGTTTAGCTTGTAACCTTCAAATATCTTACAAAGAGATCATAAGAGAGCTAAACTCTTGAATAAACAACTACAACACAATACCAGTACAACATAATTCTTAAATGAAACTTTTCACTCTCTTGATATTAAGACAACTCAAGTAAAAAAGAACTTTATAAAAGAATGAGAGAAACAAAAGAAACCATAGAACTTCTATTCAGGAAATTTGTGTATTTTGAAATGAGAATAATTTTTTTATATAGGAAAAAATTTGATTAAAAAAAACAACCGTCCATAAGTTTTTTTATTCTTTTAATCAATTGAAAACATGTCTTAATCGATTAGTTTAAGACAAAAAATAAAAACTTGAATTTAGACGCCACTTAATTGATTCAAATCCTTATTAATCAATTAAAACCCGTTTCACTTTGTTTCAATCGATAAGAAAAAAAGTTTAATCGATTAGAAAAAAGGCTTAACCAATTAGTAAAAAGCTTAATCAATTAACCAATGTACTTTATCTTCCTAACTGATCAAACAAACAAACTTCTTTAGTATTTTAAGCACTTTCCCGGATTGGTTTTAAGATTTTATCAAAAGATGAGAGGCTTTTGCTTTATTAAATTTTGTCTAGAATTTTTTTAACTTTGTCTAGAACTTTTTAAACTTTGTCTAACACTTTCAACTTGAACTTGAAACACTTTATCTTGTGCTTGACTTTTTACTGATGAGACTTTAAATATTTTATTTCTTGTTCGATTATCATCATCAAAATTATTTGAAGACATTACTTGCCCAACAATAGAACCACATACATCTAATCTAATCTCCTTACTACCGAATCTACATGTTTTCTCTCTACATGCACAAACCACCTAACTCTATTTTCCACCATCTTTTCTATTATAGATGCTACACAACACTCTCTCATATTGTCATTTCTAATCTTATCCTATCTAGTCTTACCATACATTTAACACAACATCTTCATATCTATTACACCAACTTTATTCTCATGTTGATTCTTAACTGCCCAACATTATATAATACATTGCAGGTTTGATCGCAGTTCGATAAAATTTTCCCTTTAGCTTGAGTTGTACCTTTGTGTCTTATAAAATCCTTGAGGCATCCTCTATTTCAGCCACAAAGCTTGAATTTGATAATTTACATCCTCTTTTATTTCTTCATTGTATTATATTATGAATCTAATATATTTAAACCACGTGACATGTGAGATGATATAGCTCAAACTTTCACTTCTAAATTATAAACGATTCTCTTTTTGATGATCTTACTTTTCATATATTTCGTTTTACTTCTGCTTAAATAAAAATCATGAGTTTATAAGGCACATCTCTCAACCTCTAATTTAAATCTTCATTTGATTCTTTAAAAAACACGCACCTCAGTGCTAGACTTGGGTGTATTTCATGTGTACATACAAAATTATCGTTGTTAGTTGTTTAGTAGTGTCATTTTATTATTCATTTCTACTTATTTTTATTATCATTTAACTATCTTTTTGTTGTTTTCTTTCTAGTTCAGGAGTATGAAGAAAAATGAAGGTTTAACGCCTATATTTAAAAGATTTAGACTATGTGTGATAGATGTCTGAAAGTCCCGAAAAAACTGAGAAAGAACAAGCAGAAAATGCAAAGAGGCGGTAGAGATTACCGTTAGCCCGTAGTGGGCATTACGACCATAATGGCCCCAGACCTTCCAACGGTCAAAATTTGTTTGTTTCTCTTTGTTGAATCTATTACAAACTTTTCATATTCACGTACTATTATTGTGTATTAAGTCCACTTATCGGTGGATATTTAGAGTAATATAAATATGTTCGATTAGCCTTTGTTTAGAGATATAAAATCATAGAGAACAAAACAAAAAACAAAGTTTTTATATAAGATATACAATCATGGAGAACAAAATAAAAAACAAAGTTTTTACACTTATTCTTGTAGATTTCCATAATTCTTCTCTCTAAGTTCCAATTCAGTAATTCTAGATTTTAACAATGTATGTGTTTATCATTGTCATGTGTGAGTGGTTTGCTACTTTACTCATTATGTTATTGCTTATGATAACAATATATGTGTCTATCATTGTCATGTGTGAGTAGTTTGCTACTATCATGGGATTATGAAGACGGTCTAAATGAAGGAATTCTCGTAAAGCTTACTTTCAAATTTTTTTGCATAAAATGAAACATATACTCTAATCTTTAAGAATTTTACAAACACCTCAGTGAAGATAGAGACAATATCAGATACCAACCGATGAATTAAAAGGTGAATACCAATACCCGACACATAAAGATTAGACTAATAAACCAATACATGAAAATAGATTAGACTTATTCGATAAAACTTTGTTTTGCAAATAGCTTTTGTTAACAGATTGTCATTGAATCAACCATGAAAATATGTCATTCATGATTTAAGATACAATTAAATTGTTCGAAAAAAATTATAATCTAAATTTATTTATTCATTTTGTAAAAGTCAAATACTCATAAACAAAATAGAACGAAGTTTTACAGGGTGTGCCCTAGATAAGGTATCGTAATTCTAAAATTAGTTTTTCTTAAAATTCTAAATATTTAAAGGAACTAAACCAGTCAAAATTTCTTTTTAAGTTAATCAACAAAATATAAGGAACCAGTAATCAATATAGTCTCAATGAAACAATCATTTTTATTATGCAATATTTCCACACGATATCAATACAATCCTATAATAATGAAAAAATCGTACATCTCTCATTCGTAAATCCAGACACTAGTCGATATCCCTTCATATATATCTTAAATAACTCGAATATATGTAATCCTAATCTTTTTTCTAGATCTTTTAATAAATTCTCTCTAGACACTCTATCATATATCTTCAAATCAATAAAAATTAAGTGTAAGTGTTATCGGTTCATTCGATTCTATTTCATTACATAGATAGATGGCATGAAATTAATTCTTTGGGTTAAGATAGATTGAAAGTGAGTGCTCGAGTGGATAACGAGTTGCCTGATCTATTAGAAACACCAGTAGAATGATTTGATCCAATCCAAGCTTGCGTGAAGAAAACAAAGAATGGTTGATAAGGACAATAGAGAATTTGAGAGACTCGAACTTTTTCTGTATATTGATCAAAATAAAATAAAAACACATTCATAATATCAATTGCTTTCCTATTAAACAAGGTAAATCTGAAAATAACTTCTAACACTACATTAAAGTTAGTTACAACTGATTTTTCAATCTCAAGTATAACTACCTAGAGTTAATACCTATGAATCACGGAAACAAACAAACACCGACACTACACTAACCCCATAAAAATTTGAAAAAAAATGAATTAATTGAATGTATTTTGTCAAAAGTGTTTGTGCTACATATGTCAATACCGATAAGTCAATGACGTATTTCGTCAAAAGTGTCGGTGTTACATATGTTAATACCGGTAAGTCAATGATATGTGAAAGACTTACACAAACATGTGTAGAACACCAAACATACATTCAATTTAAAATATAAGATCTACATCGGAATACATTCCAATAGTAATATATAAGATTCAAGTCAAAAACTTGTTTAGGTTGCATACATAGATTTCTTAGACAACAAGTATGAAAGCAACTACACCAAAGGATAAGCCAAGAAAAATGAGCTTAAACCCTTTAGGTTCTTGCATGTTCAAAAACCATACATAACCTATCATATTATTGCATAACACATTACATGGTAAAGTCATATACCAAAACCAAATCTAGCTGAAGAGAGTCACCATCCACATGAGACCATGAAAGCCAAAATAAAAAACCAATGGCGAACGCAATCATGTACAAAAACAATCATCCATGGCTGCTAAAGTTCATAAAAAACAGCTCTTTTTTAAACAGATGATATGGTGCGTTTACTCATTTCATGGACTCGGTATGTCGATGGCAGAAAAAACCTCTATTCAGCAGTGAAGATGCCAGATCCAAAAACTTCTCCACCAGATTCATACTCGATAGAGTTCTCAGATGGTGGTGCATTGGATTTCTCTAGCTCCTCATCAATCATAATCTCAAGGGCGCGGCAAGTTAAACTGCAAAATGCCTTTTCACCTCTGCAAGATATCAAAGAAGTCAATCTAAGTATCAAGTTTTATCTATTAAATTAAACTTTTAAAACCAAAAACGCAATCTCGGGCACGATATCAATGTGATTAATGTCGGCGCAAGCAACCAACCAACACCGCATTAAATCCCAATTTTCAAGGATCAAACTTGCATCAGCTGCATTTGACTATGATGTTCAAGGATTGAGGTTCCGTCATCTGCATTGACTATGATTCTCAAGGAAGACAATGCGGAAATCAAGGCTGAATATATTTGACTATCGCATTGAGACAAACAACAACTATTATGCAACTTAAAACCTTAGTCAAAACAAAAGAGTTACAACAATGTTAATAATATACCTATAGATGTAAATATCTTTACCCTCTTCAAACTTCTTGTTGCAGCTGTTGCAGAAAGTCAAAAACTCAGCAGAGGGAAAATGCTTTGTAGTCTCGAATCGGTCAACCACGGAACAAAACAAACCCTCCTTCTCTTCATTCTCATGTAGAGCTTTTTTAACATCATCACCGGCATGAACTTCCAGTATGCAATCACAATAAATATGTGTTTTCTTCGGATTAGGACCATGCGAAATAACACAAGTATAGTCCTCAGAGTTTTCAATCTCACTTGCAGATAGAGACATCGGTAGCAACATGTTTGGATTCATATTTTCTCCAATAAAACAAGGAGGAGAACTCACTGGTTTCGAATCATCAATTGGACCGTAAAAGTCCAATGAACAAGACATTGATTTCCCAAAGGGTAACTCATGTTCTACCAATGTTTCACCAATTTCAAAAACAACACTCGATTCACCCTTACGAAAAACAGAACTATTACGAGTATAAGGCAGCTTAAAAAAATCTTTCGGCAACGACTTAGAAGCCTTAACAGAATCCAAACAGCGATTATAACTCGGTACTTTAGTAATTATTCGAGGACTAGGATTAGGACTGAGACTACTACCCTTGTTGAACTCAGTTGACATAAGAACATTCCTAGAAAATTTAGAACAATCTTCCAAAGAATCTATGATACTCAAACCTACTTTGGTACAGTCCCAACCCCTTTTTTGTCCTTGATCAGATGATAATGTTCTTAAATTGTTACCTCTATTTGAAAGCAAAGTAACATCTAGAGGTGAAGTGGGGCTTCTAAGAGAATCAGAATCCATTCCAAGCCTCACATTCAAAATTGATTTTCTTTTCTCATTGCTCCCCAAAGCCATTTCACACCTAATCAAAACAACACAAAATCAACAACAATATTAATAATAATAATAATAATTATTATTATTATCAAAGGTAAAGTTTTGAAAAGTATACAAGTTGGGAAAAAACTTAATCAAGAAGAAAAACAAAAACTTGATCAAATTAAACAAAACATTTCATTTTACAGAATCAAACCCCCAAATGCAACAAGAAAAATACAAATCAAATTCATCATTATTCATAAATAAATAAAAAAACAGCCTTTAAATAAAAATTAAAAACAAACACAAAATAAAAAACCATAACAAGTTCAAATTAAAGTAATGCTATGAACATTGAATAATAAAAATTAATAAAATGAAGAATCTGAAAAATAGGTCAAAAAAACACCAAAAAATATTTAATAAAAAAAGGGTTTTTCATACAGTACAATGCATTAAATTCTAGAGCATTGGAAACTAGATAGATCAGATATAAAAAGCGATGATTTGAATGAGAATGAAAAAGGAGAAGATGAAGAAGAAACCTTGGTTTTGTGAAAGTGTACTGAAGAAAGTAGAGAGAAAAATGGTGAAGTTGAAATGAAGTAAAAAATAAAATGATGAGAAATGTGAGACTTGTGTTTGTGGAGAGAGAAGTGAATTTGGTACAATTTCACTTTCTTTCTCTACTTTGTTTTGCGTGTTATATACAAAATTGTTGTAACTTTCACATGTTGACAAATGTTGAAATAATGTGTTATCATGCCACATTGTCATAAAGTTCATTTATTTTTTATTTTATTTTTAAAATTTGAAAAGAAGTAGTAAGATTTTACATGTAATGTTTTGGTAATTAATTTATGTAAACTTAAACAAATTCTATAAATAAAACAGAATATTATATTATTTTTACTAAAACAATTTTATATGATGTAATCACTTTTATCATAAATATAAAGAATGAATTGTTAGTATAAAGGGTATGTTTTAAAATGATAAGAAAGTTGGAAGTGATTAAATCTTAATAAATACATAAGAAATAATTTCATATAAAAAGATTTATTCACATTAAAAGTATTTATAAGATTATTTGTAAGGAGGGTGTTGAATAAATTTTTCAATAATTGAATTACTTCAATAGATTGTTGAATAAGGTGTTGAATGTGACATGAATTAATTTGTGTTGAAAACATTCAATATGTTGAATGAGAAATGAGTGGGGTCACTAATAATACTTTTGTAAAATATAATTGGTTGTTGTGATTATTTATATTTTTATCTCACCTAAATAATTTGGAGTCAATTATTTTATAGAAAATCAATTTTTTATTTATTTTTATTTTCACCAAAATTCATCATTTTTTTGTCTATAAACAAAGCCTTGGTTCATTTGATTTGGACAAAGAAAAAAAATCTATTTTTTCTCTCTAATTTTTTTATTTAGTCTCCAATAAATTATTAATTGTAGCTCTAAACAATTTTTTAGTGAAATGAATCCCAACAATAACCCTTTTAACACCTAAAATTCTACTAATTATCCTTTCAACTACTCAAATCCCAACTATATATTTCAAAATCAATCTTCCAACCAACAAGGTCTCCAAAATATACCAAATTTCATAATGTCGTCATCTAATCCAAACTGTTGTCCATATTATGGATCTATGATGTCATATTCATTTTAAGTTTTTTGTAATTACGAATATAAAATTAGAGAAAACAAATTAAATATGTTTTTAAATTAAAAAAAAAATTAAAAAAATTATTTAACTCTTAATTATTTTAATTTAATTTCAATTGATAATTATTATTAATATATAATAAAAAAACAAAAACATAAAAAAGAAAATAAAAATATGAAATATAAGTAGTGGGGCAAGGTGTTGAATTTTATTAAACAAAACCATTGTAGTGAGTAAAAGTTGAATGAGTGTTGAATTATTAGGCGGAAGAGAGAGAAGATGATGTGGAGTGTAAAAAATGGGAAAAATGAGTGTTGAATAATTTTGCCATTGTAGATAGTCTAAAGAGTAAAGAATATTAACTCAACAAAATGACAAAAGAGGATAAAGTGTCACATGGATAAGTGTGGTGGTTCCAAACATTATGTTACTTGTCTCTTCCATACAACTTTTCGTCGGAGTCGCCACTGACGACACGAACTTCGGGTCCGAGGGCGTGATTGTATAGGCGTTAATGATGGCTCGTAAGCGACACTTGAGCACTTAAGTGCAACACATTAATGAGAGCAATCGGGTTATTTGTGACGTTAATGAGGTGGCGTCGATGGCGGTCGGCACTTGAGCACTTAGGCACGACACATTAATGGGAGAAATCGGGCTATTTGTGAAGTTAATGTGGCGGCACCGGTAGCGATTGTCAGTCGGCCGAACATGCAATCTTGATACATATTGATGTAGGCCAAACATTGTAACTTTTGGTAAAAGAAAAGTGTTTCACCAAGGGTCGTTACATTGTGAAACAATACTAATATGACCTATAAATGTTTCATTCATGATTCAGAAATTCAGTAACAACAAAATACATATCCTCTAAAAACAATTCCAAACACTCTTCGTTGCATTCGAGTTTTCATATTTCTTGTGCAAACTCGAGAAGGCTGAATTATCCTAGGTATTCATGCATCAAAACTCTAAGACAATCGAGAGTGCTTGAAATATTATAAGGAAAGTGTTTCGTACATGACTACAATCTAGACTCGTTCAACTTTGAAGCGTTATCTAATAGTCTTATAGTATCTCAAATCATGGCCACCGATGCTTCAGTTTCAAGTATCAAACTGATGAACTAATACCTTGTCAAGTTGGATCATTTTGATGGAATAAACCTCACCCATTGGTGTTGTAACTGGTTTTAAAACGAGAGTCGTCACCCTTAATTTTTATTCTGAGAAAGAGAATATAAAGGATAACCTTAAAAAGTTAGAGATTCTAGGTTTTTGGACTCGGTCTTAGACGAAAGGAAGGTGTTAAGCACCCATCATCTAACTTGTTCACAAGGATACTAGGTTTAGAATTAATCTTTAGGGAATATGGTTTTTAGTATTATTAGGGGAACTCGCCACGATTTTAGTCGTATGCCTACGTATCCTCTTATGAAGAATCAGGAATTTTTTTTATTAATAACCATGTATTAAAAAAATATTTCGCAAATAACCGGGTTTCGGAAAAAATTACGCAAATAACCATGTTTGAGATGGCTCCACAAAGGAGGAGCCATCTCATTTGGCGCATGCTCCTCTTTTTTTAAGGGAGGCGCCATCTCACTTGGCGCCTAAGGGCAAAGGGCAAGCCCTAAGCCAAGTGAGATGGCGCCTATGTACAAAATTAGGTAAAAAAAAAATTTTTTTTTTCTTTCCTGCGCGTTGCGTATTAGACAGAGATAAACAAAATGGATTTTTTATTTAAAAAAAAATAATTACATTCAACTGTTTTACATTTAAAGAACAGTAAAAAAATAGATACAAAAAATACTGGGAAAAAAAAAGATACATCAGTGATCCCCAGGAACCCGGTAATGACCCCCAGTTCCGCATCCCCGTCCTCGCCTTTCTCTTGCTGGGTGCCGTCTCGTTTCCTACTGCGGCAAGGTCGATGGCCCAGCGAAGTCAATGCGATCCGAATCCATAAAATCAGTAAGATCTCCATATCTCGAAGATCCGCTCTGGTACAGTCGGTTACCCATACCCTCGAAGTTTGGTCGTGTTGGCGGTGGGTGGGGTTCCATGGTTGGTCGGTAGCATTGGTCGTCTGAGTATGGGGGGTAGAAAGGAAATGGATCTTGGGGTGTTTGGTATTGTGGATGTTGGGTTGTTTGGTGATATGGTGGTTGATGGTAGGTTTGGTCGGGTTGGTCATAATCTTCTGACATTTCCATATCAGGGCTAAGGCTGGATGTTGAGGGCGCCATATTGGGATATGTGGAAGACTGAAATTGTGTATGGGGTATGTGGGTTTGCTGGTATTGGGGTTGGTATTGTGGTTGGGTTTGAGGCATATCCGGGTATTGGTAGTTTGGCGGTGATTATGGTTGGTAGTACGACATTTGGTTGTAGTTGTGTTGTGGTGGGGAATGTGGTTGTGTGTTTGTTGGTCTGTTTCTTCTTGGGGGTTGGTTTGAGGTTGATGGATTTTGGGTTTGTTGGTGGGGAATCGAGGGTTGTGCCCATTGTGTGCGTGGGTCAACCAAGTACCTCGGATGAGACACGTGCATATCTGGGTTACTAACCGACCTGTACCACGACATATATTGATCGGTGTGTCGCATGTTACCTTGAGTAAGGAAAACCGGGGATTGCAAGATGTAGCGGTGACGCCTTTGCCACATTTTACACCATTCTGGAGCAAAGTCTTTCCAGTTGGTAAGATTCCACTGGGCGTCGACCCTTTTTAGATGCCAGGGGGACAAATCTGTTGGATCACTTGTTATCTCTTGGATCATTCCGAACTGCATCTTCACACGGTCGCTGTGGTGCATCTCCACAATGTTGAACCGAATGAGTGCAGTCTTTGCAGTCCAAGTTGCTGCATCCTCTGGATTTGGAGAATGGTCCAAACCCAAATATGGTCTCCAGACGAACTGCGATAAAATTTAAATCAGGTAAGCGCAAAAGTAATGTATAAATAATTAAAATGAACAAAAGTTAAAAGCTACGACGTACGTCATCTGGGCCTAAGTGATCCAACAGATTCCGGTAGAGTGCGACATTGAATCTGGGATTCTTGCCGTAATCCATACCCCTCACGCAGTACCTAAAGGAAATGAGAAACATGTTATTTTTAGCATATATTTTGGAAAGAGAAGAATAGTTATAAATGCTATAACTTAATGACTTACTTTGTTGCGTAAGGGAAACCAAAAGTGTTGTTGTTGATGGGGTTTAAGGACTCCATCCTCCACCAACCCCAGGCTTGTAGTAAAAATGCGCACCCATAAAATGTACATTTTTCCTTGACTGCGTTTTTGCACAAGGAACTGTACAGGTGGGCTAATACTGCAGAACCCCAACTAAATTT